TTTGGTGATTGGCGACTCGAGAGGCTCCGCGGAATGAAGAGGACACCCTGGTGAGGGGGTCTCGCAGAAAAAGATTTTACCCGTCGAAAAAAACGTGATCAAGATATCAAGATTATCAAGAAGACTACAACAAAATTCAAGATGCCAAGATCCGAGGACAGAGCAGGCTCCCCCCGGGGCTACACGCGATTCATCGAAACGTAAAAGCTTGTGGAACACAGAAAACTGACCTCAGTGTAACTCGTGTCTATGTAGCGGCTGACACCTCTCGGAGGTCGGTGTTATAGTAGCGGATGGGATAGGGTGGTCTGCTGTTGCTGCCGCTGCTGTGATGTGTGTGGGAAAAAAAAAAAATCGGTACGAGGCTACTGCTGCTGTACATGCATGCAACAAGCGAGCGGACTACATGCAGTAGGCGGGGGGGCGGTTTAGCGACCAATACAGCAACCGTGTCACAACGAAATGCGGCCGCTATCAGCGTCACTAAAAAAAAAACGGGAGCCTCAACGGCGACCACACGATGAGCCGCTAAAAACCGGGGGGAAAAGTCCCAAGTTTGCAGAATAAAAAGAGGCAGAGGAATCACAAAAAGCTCTTCTTGACGAGGCAGGGTCAAGCGTGTGTCTTGTTGCAGCTGTGACAAGAAGGTAGACAAAGAAGTAGTAACACCTGAGGGTGGACAAGCGGTACTTTGGATTACCGCGTAGCGTTTGCACGAGCCAGCGTTATATACTTCCCGTCGCCAATTGGTTGAAGAACGGCTGTCATATGTCTGTGCCTACTCTGGAACAAACAAACTGCTGATCGTTACCATGTGGACTACAAGAAATCAACAAGAGGGTGCTTGCCATGCCTGCCCTACACGCTTTACACGCAGCGATGCCGCCGACATGACCGAACGCCATCTTCAACCCTCCTGCTACCGCGCACGAACAGTGACACTATGTCTTCTGCTCCCGCCACCGCTTGCTCGACTCTGCCGGTTCTTGCTCGGCAGCCGTATCATCCCCCGTGGCTTCCTCCAAGGCGCCCGCCTGGGGCTCTGTCTCCTCGTGTCTGATACAATCTGAACCTGCGGGACATGCTGGTGTCACAGCAACGAATCCCGCACGCCCTTGATTCGCATCGTTGCCATCGCCGTCTGCTGAACTCCGTTTTCCAAGGTCAGGGTTATCATCGGCACTACGGCCACTTGTTCTGCCCCTTCCTGGAAGGTCAAGTAGTTGCTCCCCTTCCTCCTGTTCGTCTTCCCCTCTCGAAAGAGAGGCTTCGGCAACTGACGCCGTCACGACCACCCGACCTCTTCGAGTGCTTTCTTCTGGGGACTGCCCTTCAGGGTCGCCTACGCTTGGCCGTCGCGGTCTCTTGGCTTTGTCCCCGTCAGTGTCACCTACTCCGTTGCTTGGACCACTGTCGAGCAAAGCGCTCGTCAGCTCACTCATGCTCATCGGCGCATCGTTGTTCGCCAATGCCGCATCCATGTTGGCGGCACCAGTCTGGGCGATCTCAGGCGACCCTTCCCGCCTCTCCGAGCTCGGTACATCATCAAGGTGTCTGAGTCCTGAAGAGGCGCTGAGTTGCTGCCGCACGGGGGTTGTGTCCGGTGGATGCGGCCGAAGCTCCGGATTTTCTGGCGAGTCTAGGTGTGCTGTTGCGTTTGTTGGTGTCACCGATGTGTCCACCGCCTGCTCTGTGCTTGTCTGCGGTAGTACTCCTGTTGCATCGATCGCTCCTGCGGCAAGCGCTTGAATCGTGGCCTTGATTTCCTGGATTTCGCCCAGGAGAGAGGTCGGCACTACGGTCGGCTCTGGATCTGCCTCTCTACCGGCTGTTGTTGATTCCGCCGCCTCGGCAGAGCTGTTGACCTCTTCTTCTGGTCGCGCTTCGGTCGGCGCGATTAGCGAGAACGAAGCACAGTATAAGTTCTAGGAGCTCGATCGTGAAGAAGCATGCTCAGAGGCTCACATCGAGTTAAAGGCGAAACACCATTGATGATCGGGTTTAATGCGAAACACGATTTGCTGGCTCCTATATTAAAAATGGTCTCTGAGCTTTTCCCGGCAGTCTGAAACAAATTCCTTGCGACTGCAAAATACTTTCGCGCAGATTGAACGATGCTGGACGGAAGGCGGAGGCTATTTGTTGCACCAACTGAAACAACAAGCCGTATTTTCACATTGGTGTCCCGGTGCACACAAACATGCTGCCCGAAGGAAAATAGAGTAAATCTTACCGCTTTCGCCGTCTTGTTCCGCTGTGTCCGCTTGCCCGCCCAGTGCTGCTACTGGGAGGTGCTGCCTTGGAGACGAGACCTGAAGCACCACCCTTCGACCGTTCCATTCCCACACCTCACTCTTCCCCTCTTCCGCATTACCACTACCGCAATCGTCGTTTCCACTCGTATGTACGCGGTGCCACCCAGCCGGGGGCTTGTCGTAGTACGTTGTCAAACTACGTGCGCTACGACCAGCGGCGGCCTGCGGAACGTATCGGCGGACCAAATCACAAGCGTTTGGTGCCAGCACCATCTCTGCCGATGTCGGCCCGGGGCCCCCGGCTGACGGGCGTGACACACGCCGGCCGTTTAGGTTGTTGTTGTTGCTTCTACTTCTTCTGCTGCTATTGCTGCTGCCGACTATGCTGCTGCTGCAGCTGTTGCGGCCGATGACGACAGGATCATTGGAACCTCGGTGGCGTGACCTTTGCAATGCTCGAGACTGAAAAGCACCATCGGAGCCCCGACGTCGTGGTGTGTTCCCTACGGCTACGGCAGCAGTGGCGGAGCTCCTTCGAGAGCTGACCGCAGCGGCAGCGCTAGTTTCCGCGACCCCAGAAAGTATTCGGTCATAATTTCCGCCATCCCATACACCGGTGCGGTTGTGCTGGCCACGGACGCGGTTCGTCGTCACCCTTTCCGTCGGCGACATGAGAACGTCCCGTGGTGATGGCGCATTGCTTACGTTGTGACCACCTTCCCTCCGCCCTGGATTTCTTGTCGTCACGACGGCCTCGCTTGGTTGTACCCACGCGTATTGCAAAAACTTGTCGGTAGATCCTTTCTCTCCGAAAGGTGCTGAAGCCGCCCCTGTGGCCGCCAGTCTGCGTTTATCGTTATGGTGCACAGCAGAAAGGGGTGGGGGAGCGGGGGTGTCGTCAGGCAACATGTGGTGGTTGCCTACGGTACACGTGATCACGGGGTAGATGCAATGCAAAGCAAATGTGTGTCTACCCGCGGAAGCCGTAGCTCTTGACGTTCACGGGACTAAAGACGAGGCAATTCTGTGCCCTAATAGTTCCGTAACTTAGTGGAGAAGGAAGCCACAACACGTGCGGATGGTGCTGCACCCAAAGACGGAGGAAATCGTTCCGCACTTAGTCTAAACTGCCGAGGACTGTGTCATTCCTTCCTTTGTACCTTTGTGTAGCGACAAGGTTGTCCATGACTAGCTGTGACTGCGCCTCAACAGCCCGCTGTAACCCTTCGAGGTCGCGAGCGCGGTCCGCGTCCTCGGCCAGTCGTCGGCGGTCCCACTCCCACCTTCAACGCACGTTCCGAGAAAAAACTTTTTTATCATTTCTCGACCACCACGATGATTTTGTTGGTATCCTCGCATACCTTCCGTGATTGGAAGTACGACTCTCGATGAGCTGCGTGTATCCCGCATTCCGTACCTACCTACAGTATCTAGTTATGAACTGTAAGTGCACACGGCGTGTGGTTTTCGTGTACGAGCTCGTTTCATATATGCTCTTTTTGACTATTGACCCCGCCAGAAATGAAGTACGCCCTCGACGTCTTTCTGCATTGGATCAGTTTGTTTTTGTTTTTTTTCCTTCGCTGCTAGGTACAATATTCATTCATCGTTTAAGAATCACCTTCAAGCCCGTTGAATATCAATTCTCACGAGCAACAACTGGTACAATTTAGGTTGCTAATCTGGAAGTGCAAAGAGATTTAATGATCCACACTCATGGTTAAAGAGCCGACGAGCACGAACAAGCATTCCACCCAACCGAGATCAAGAATCTGGACCATCGCCCACTAACGTTGTTCGGGACCACATATGCATACATTAGGAGGGCGAGCATGAGCGATCGTGGGTGCATCACACACCTCTCTCTTTCTCCGGCGAGGCTTGCCAACTGTCTCTGAAGACGGCCACACTCGTCCCTCCAGAAAGATTGGCTCCTACCATCTCCACCGACCTCGTCTTCACCAGGTAGTCTGGTCGTGTCAGCAAAGGACACAGCTGGACGCACGTCACCACCAGCAGCAGCGCCAGAATCAGAATGAGGCGGCCTTCGCCATACAGTGGCATCCTCCGCCGCACGTAGCTCCTGCTCTCGTTGGATAGGATCGCCGAGCAAATCTTGGTCCAAAGACGAGTTGGGTAGGTCACCGAACATCCGTCTGGGATCTCGCTCGCGTACAACTTGCGGTTGCTGCTGCTGCTGTTGTTGCTGCTGCTGCCGTTGCTGAATTCGGCCTGCTTCGGTAACGGCCTCGACTTCAGAGGTAAGTTGGCTTAGGCGCCGGCTGGTGCCGCCTGACGGCGAGAGCTGAGCGTGGGTCGGGTTTCCGTCATCACTCTTCGCCTCATCGCCTACCCACCATGACCGACCTGCCGCCCACTGTGGAGTTGGCGTGCTCCTCTCTCCATCTGCAAGATTCATCACAGGTTGCGTCCACCACAAGAATAAACTTAGAGAGAGGTGAGAGGAGAGATCAAAACTCCACCTCTTGTCCCTCCTCGGTGAGACAAGTGAAATGCGGCGCAATCTCCCAGAATTGGTCGAACAGGAACATTTTGATTTTGTAACGGCTGCTGACGATCCGACCGCCTCGAACAAATACTTTTTTTACGGCATCTGCGGGCTGTACGGGGTTTTGTCCCCTTTGGCGTTGCACCAGAGGATGCGTACACCGTGTGAGTAAAACGGGGAGGAAAATCAGGTCAAAGCCGCAAGGTCTACGAGAGTAGTCTACCTGGTGCAGCCCGATGGCGTCGGCGTTGGCGCGGTCCGCGGGGGGGGTTCAGCCCCCGCAGGGAGACGCTCAGCGTGTGCAGGATCTCCAGCAGCTGCAGCGGGAGTACAGGCACATGGAGCTTAATAGACGGGCGTATGCAGAAGAAAGCCAGCAGCTTCTCCGCAAGCAACAGGTAGAAGGACGAGCTGTCAGGGCTCGCATTCTGCACACGAAATATATCATCGGTGGAGATTTTCTACACCTCGATACGTATCACACATGTACGGCATTACGAGCCCGTATCATCCCACTTCATGGATTTGAGTTTAACGCACATCTGCTGCAGAGTGCCGCGTACATGAGAGTGTTCGCCTTTAGCTCACGAATATGGCGATGCAAAGTCAGGTTTATTAGAGTGCAGGAACCCTGTGCCTGGTTGTGTTACCCAGTAGTGCGACTAGCTGCACCCATATTTCATTGTGCTTTCAGTAGTCTAGCAGGGATCGGACGTTGGAGATTTGCAAATGTTGTGGCTCACGTAGCACTCTCTAATGTAATAGACTTTACAACGAAAGTATTAAAAATGAGTTTGAAATGGCGTATGTATAGGCCCGCCCGCTAAAGCCCGCCGAGCGCCCCATTCCTGGTGACCGATGCTTGCTTGTTCATCATACTCGGAGTACGAAACAAGTGAACGCAGATTGAACGACCGTCTGTGCGAGAGTCGCTTGAGCATTACATGATCTTCCCGCTTGTTGCGCTTTTAAAGGTCTCAACAGACCATTTGTTCACCAAACAAATGTGGTACTACTGCACAGGTAGGTTGACTTAATCGTGTAGATACATACAAATCCGTTGCGAAATTAGTAGACCTTCCGGTTTTCGGTGAACAACGTTTTTCGACCGATGACGTAACACAACCCGGAGCTCGGGAAGTGCAATGGCTGCAAAGGGAATGATCTATGCACACCTATGGTAAATCCCGAGATCAATACGACAAAAAAGCGGCCAACAAGAAGCAAACAAGTGCGTTACTTGGTCGAGCCTACGTGTGCCACAGTACCAATTGCGTGCCATGGAATAGGAGCCCAGTTCCGCGCTGAGCTTTGGGTGCACAACATGGGCTCTTTTCTCGAACAGGTTTCGGTAACTCTAACCCCTTGTTCATGTTTTCACGACAGGCGAACATGGAGAAGCTGAGGCGTGAGAACAACAGCCTCAAGACGGAGCTGGCCATGGAGTTTCGTCAGTTCAGGAAACCGGTCGATTCCAGTTCGGCTGACCGAATAGCACAGGTTCGAAGCAACACACGTCGGAAGGACGGGCACGAAATTTATATCTCACCTTGTTGCACCTTTGGCAGTAAACGTAACCCGCTGCGGAAGAGCGTGAAAGCCTATGCACAAGTGAGGGTACCGTTGTTTGGTGGCTGTGAGACGATGCGTCACAACCAGAGAACAGGACTTCGATTCTCGTACACATGGCATGCACGGCATCCATGAAGGGCTATCTTGGCCCGAACATCGTACGCACACACTCAAGTTGTCTCCATGTAGCATACCGTCGAACTTCGTCATCCCTCAGGTGCGCTCCCACCCCCCGCCCTACCGACCGAAGATCCGATCAAGCTTGCTGTTACGACCTACGTTCTCGATCCACACAACAGTTGCAAGAACAGGCTGATCATTTCCTGGCGTTGATCGAGACCGAGAAGAGGGCGATAGACACGGTGGCCGAGCAAACGGGAATGATGAAGCACAAGATTCTGCACCAGCGCAAGATGATGGGAGGGGTCAACGCCGCCATGGAGAACGAGTACATGGTTCAGAAGCAGGTACAATAGTGCCACCACCCGACTATTTTTAAGATTCAAACCGCGGAGCTGCACACGGATGCCGTCGTCCGTTAACCCTCCAACGTCAACGCAGGCATAAGAACCACCTGCTTCTGTTGAATATTCAATATCTCCGATGAGCACCCGCTTGTTCGTCTCAGAAGCGCCTTTTTTCTTCTGGCACAAGCTTTTTCTATTTCCTCACCTCACGGATGCCTATGTGCATATCGTTTTCGTACGTTTATTTTATCATGTCAGGTCAGAATCTTGGAAAACCGCTTGGACAAGGCTCTTACAAAGTTCAACGAAGCCCTGGCCCACAACAAGACCCTCCGGCAGGAGGTGAGTGAGTAAACATATACCGCAGCAACATGGAAGAGGGCAATAGGGCAATGCCGCTTCTTTGGACGATAGATATACGTCTTGACTGGAAGCCCCACAGGTTTCAAGTTGCGAACGTGAATTACCACCACCAGCTGCTCTTGAACCGAGCCGATCACATGTACCGCCAGATCTCGGCCACGACTAGCTACAAGTCGGTGTAGTGCACCTGGCATGTCCATGTTAGACTGAGACGGACTGCTGTAGGTTGTCGAGCAGGGGCAGTCATGCCAACAATCAACAATGGAACAGACTACCGTCAAGAGATCCGTTGAACTTCAGGTTGTCAGCCACATGGGTATTGACTGCATCGACCGATCCTCCTCAAAACCGTTTCATGTGCCGCTGATGTTGCCACCGACAGATCGATGACCTCCGACGAGAACGCGTGCTCTTCGACACAATCTACAAGAAGATGGAAAGGGAGCTCTCAGACCGCAAGAAGATGATGGCCAACGTCATCGAGGTAGGTCTTCGCCGGCAATAACTCGCTTATCATTGGTCTATTAAGTGTCCTGCGGGCCCGACGCTCTCGGTGCCTTCTTGTTTGAGGTCAGCGTGTGACCACATAAATACTTCTGTTTGCCTTTAAATAATGTCGAAGAGGAGGTAGGTAGAGGTCATAATTATTTTTGGTGCGGAAACAGCAGCAAAACACCTACCCCCCTCTCCCAAGCTCCGTGTAGAGCGGGATGCGTAGTCTGTGGCAAAAGACTGTCCAACGATAAACAATGCCGTCCACCCCCTTAGACAGTATTTTGTATACTCTGTCCCATAGGGATGTGTGGCCGAGTTTTTATCTATCTCCTCCGTCCCGTACATCTCCACCCCATATCTATGCTGTGTCTGTTGCCTCCGGGTTTGTGCTCCGCCCAGACGCCTGCCTACTACCTACATGAGCCTTGCGTTCTGTGTCCCAACTGCCAGGCCTATCTGCGCCTCAAGCGTTCTCTCTCCCGTCCTTTCCCCACCCCTCGCGTGCTCATTCCGTGCCCGGTGTGTGCACGATTATACGTACGTGAAATACGCCTGTGTTGGTGGTCGACGTCGACCAGCTGAGCAACGTGAATTATGAGCAGAGAGACAACTTTCAGATGGAGATCGCCGCCGTGGAGCAAGCAAACCGGCGAGAGCAAGACGACTTCGAGAACCAGGTGACCACTTTTCGTCGGGTACCCGTCATCGCTTGTTGATGTTACAACATACGTGAGATGGGCTTGGTTGTCATCTGGAAATGTTCTGGGCACTCCGAAAGTGTCGCTGTGTACACTTAGTCAGAGAAGAAAATAAGTGGAAGTAGAGGCCTTCTATGAGAATGATCATAAGCCGCTGGTTGCCGTTCTTCTTCTTGTTCTTCTTCTTCTTGTCCTTGTAATTCTTCTTCGGTTTCCTGTTCTTTGCCGGCGAATCACACAAAAGCGATAAAAAAAACGCATGTATGTTGTTACGTCGCAATCTTTGTGGGAAAATGATCCCCTACTTGGAACTTGTCTGGCCGATGCCGCTCTAGTCATCGACAGCATATCGCCCATAGAACCTCTACGCCTTTTTTCGCCGAAGCTCCGCAAATATCACGATACATTTTACAGCCGTGGCTGCACCAATCATCTTACGCACCCTCGCAGATGCTCGAGCTAGGCCGACAGATGGAAGCGGAGCTGCACACGGGGGCACTCGGCGCCCCCGCTCCCACCACCTCGGCAGCCTTGGGGATGGGTAGGGGCAAAGGCGCCAGGGCAGGGACAGCGGGTGCTACAGCGACGGGGTTGGGAGGAGCAGGAGGAACCGGATTTCGGGCTGGAGCTGGGGCAGAGACAGGGGACTCAGGGAAGCACCACGCAGGGCTCTTAAGCGAGACGGAGGAGTCACGATCGAGAACTCGCGGGGCAAAGGTTGGTTGCCGGGTTCACGTGCCACCACTCGCTGATAAAAAGTTGATGCTTTGATCACCGCCAATAATAAAAGGAATGTAGAACACCATAGTCCTGCTGCCGACGGCAGTCACCAAGCTATTCATGTGTGCCAAAACGCACGTCTTGATCATTCGATTCGGGAACCTGGTTGGATCTTGAAAAAGCGCCCACATGGTTTGTGTGCCATCCGGGCTCGAGGATGAAATATTCCAAGAGGACCATCGATCAAAGTAACAGACCGTTTGAATCACTTTGGCAAATCTAAACAAGTCCGCTCCCCACAGCATAAACAAACGCCCGTTCACAGCCACAGCATTGCCTTCTAGTACAAACGGTGACAGCGCAAGACGTCCGTGCACCGTAGCGGCAACGGGAACCTTAACCCCGTCTTGTTCACGCCCCAACCTCCGGAAACCCACACGCTTTCCCGAACTGGAAACACCCAAACGCAGACGAGTGGAGTAGTCTTGGCGCTGATCCACAGCGACAGCCGTGCCATTTATTGTTTGTACAAACGGTGACAGCACATGACCTCTGTATGTACACCGTGCGTCTGGTTCAAGCCCCAACCTCAAGCATCGGAAATCCGTGCCCCGCCCCGTACTGGAAACGCCCAAAACGCAGACAAGCGGAGCGGTATTGGCCAACAAGACCGACGCGCAGGCATCCCTAGAGCGGATACAAAACTTCGAGGAGGCGTTTGCGAGGATCAGATCTGCCACCGGAATAGAGGACATAGAAGAGCTGGTGAGAGTGAGACTTACGGAAGAGCGGTGCTTGCCAACGCGTGCGCGGTTTGCTGCCTCCATTGAGGAAAATCAGAACGCGTTGCACCGTAGCTGGCGTGGAGAAGTACTTCTAGCGTCAGGAAGGCCACTCACGGAGAGCCTGGGCGTTGGGAGTGCGCGGCTCAAGTTTCGCATAACAACACAAGTCTATAATAGAACGAAGCTAAACCAATAGGCAGTCGAGTTCAACCCCGCCTGCTCCGTCAACTTTAGAACTCAAACAAGCTGCTGTAGCTTCCCCCCCCCGCGCGCACGCCCTCTGTTCCCTGCGCTCCGACCACAGGTTCGAACGTTCGTGAAGAACGAGGATCAGAATTTCTCCCTCTTCAACTACGTGAACGAGCAGCAGAACGAAGTGGAGAAGCTGGAGGAGCAGCTGCACCAGCTCCAAGAGGAGGAACAGAAGTTCACCCAGGTATGTAGGCGAATCATACAATAACCATGCTGCTGTATTTGTAACGTAGTACCACTACGCTCGGAGGGCTCCCACATTCGACCCGTGTGGTTCTCGATCGCTACGTCGGCGGAAGTATCATATGCACATGGTAGTCTCGTAGATGCCCAGCGCAAGCGGGGCCGGCCATGGGGGATTCAAGCAGAAATAAACAAGCAGGAGGATACGCGGTGCATTCCATCGTCCACACCTCTGCGGAAAGAACAGAGATCTTGTACATGTGTGACGGAACAACCAGGAACAAGTTGAGAAAGGATTGGTTGCTAGGAAGGAATGCCTTTGACGGTCGACTCCGGCGGTGGCGTGTGATGCTGTACAGGAATCTGGCAGCGACGTCCACCAGCACAAGCAGGCGCTCAAGGACCTGGAGGCAAAGCTAGTGGTGAGGCACGAATAGGGTAGTACCGCGCTCAGACGTCGTGTGGACTGATGTTTTTGATGAAGAGAATCAGGCCGACACGAACGATGTGTTTCATCGATATGTACTTCAAAGGTCAAAACTTGTTTTCGACTGCAATGCTTGGCTCCATCGTCAATCGGCTATATCTCAGCCGTGTGAACGTGATTGCAGCCAAGAGCATCGTGGCAATGCCCCGCAGTTTGTTTCAATAAGGTGTTGCGGTAAGGAAGGGTAATAAGCCTACGTTTGTCGAGTGTTCGGCCATGTGTGCCTCGGAGCCCATTGTTCTAAGTTCTCGTCAAGTTTGGCAATGTATAGCGGCGAGTTTTCCTCCCCCTGTTCCGTCGTGAGTAAAAACGATGCGAATGCCGTCTTTCGTTTGTGTTCAGATACATGACCCTATCAGCATGGACCGGGCAAAGTTTGGCAGGGGTCGCTTGCAACGTGATTCTGACGTACATGTTACAATGTTTGAAGAACTGTCTCTCTGTCCGGCTGTGCCCCTCGCGCACTACCATCTCGTGTGCTTTCGTTTCGCCTTTGGGGTCGCAAACCGTTTCATAGCACACGGAAGCTGCTTCCGAAAAGTACGAGGTACGCTGTTCGGAGGCAAGCCTGACGATAGACGCCCTCAAGGTGAGGACAAACAACAAAAATGGTGGGCCTTTGTGGTGGTATGAAATAGCTGCCTCTCGCCGTAAAACGAACCTGCTCAACCCAGCGGTGCACCACCACATACAGATCAGAGGGAAGTTGTGAGAGGAGGATGAGCGACAGTTCCCTCTTCGGCACAGAAATCTGGCACCAAGTTCACACATACCGCGATAAGCCAGCTTTGGGTAATGATACAAGCCGTCGACCTTGCCATTGACTCTATCGTCCTTCCGGGTGACATGCAAGCCACAGCGAGCCCCGAATGACTTGGTCAATTGTTCGGTAGGACTCGCGCTTACAAGATGTTCACATTTGCTCGCCACAAAGATTTCTACAGATTTTTCACGAAGAACTACTGCACACAAAGGTTAAATGTACTCTCAGGAACAACGTCAAGTCTCGCGACCGCCCTCCCTTCTCGTCACTTACCACGAGAATGGTTGACCAAAACCACGAAAGTGACAGAGAACTTCTCTCCTGCGCTCGGGGGCGGGTGGGCAGCGCGTTTCTACGCTAATCCCTGAGCAATATCTGCAGTACTGCAACGAACCCTCTATCCGATTCACTGCAACAGGACGGAGTGCAGAACCTATTCGGCCGCGTGTTCGGGGGCGAGGCTTTGCCGGAGACGGTGAGCGGCGGCAGCGTGACCGACTCCAACATGATGACCTTCCTGGGGATGATCGAAGAGAAGACCAACAGTCTCTTGCAGGTGTGCCGATGGCGACGCTCTTGATCCTTGTATCCTCTCCTATCTGCTCTGCATGTGTAGACAAACCGCCGGATAAGCTCGAGGAACACTCTCAACTGTGTACTCTCGCGTCACGAGGACCCAGGAATCTTAAAAGGCGTGTGTGCAATCCCGAACCGAGGCTCCTCGGTTAGAGAGCAAGGCCGTACGTAACTGCAAAATCAACGCTCATAAATAGGGTGACGAATATCATCTCTGAACAACGAGCCTTCCCCCCTGATCCCTCCAACTGGGTGCTTCCGCAGGCGTTCGCCCGCGCAAAAGAGAGAGAGAAAGTCAGAGCAAACGCCGCGGCCGCCTTGATGGCCAGCGGAAGCGAGCACGGTGGAGGAGAGGACGATCTGGGTATGGGGAGGACATTGGCGGTGGGCGGCGGGAACGGGGGTGGAGGGGCCGCGGTGGCGACGGTCTTAGGGCATGGCCCTCAGACGCCCATGCGCCAAGTGAGACTTCCGGGCGCGGGTGTTGTGTATGGGATTATTTATTGTTGCCACGAGGGCAAGGCCAAACAGAGCGGCTGGACACAAACCAATTTTTCTTGCGGTCGAAATTGGGGTGGCGAAGCTGCCCCCAGCGGTGAATTGGGAAAAGGGTTATCGAGGGACTTTATATCACCACCACCAAGCCTCCCCCGATACCTCAACCACACCCCGTATGCCTGACTACCAACGACAACCCTCTACCCGCCCCACCCCTTTGGCCGTGCACGCTCTTGGCAAAACCTCTAGGAATTGATCCACGTGAACCCTCCAAAGCTTGAGGACTTCTCCTCCTCAGAGGAAAGTGGGAGCGATGACGACGATGCACGCCCGTTGACCAGGGACGAGCTCAAGGGTCGCACGCTTAACAAGATTCAGAGAAAAAATGCCAGGGAGGGGGGTGGCAGGGGCAAGGGGAGGGGGGGAAGGGGGAAGTGAAGAAAAAAGGCAGGTAGTAGGAGTTGACCAGCCGAGTGTGTACATAATTCGTCTGGTTCGCGCTCCTAGTATTGGCCGTCTTGCTCTCAATAACAGGACGACCTTAGTGGACTGTGTTGAGTCGTTTGGACTCCTTTTATTCTGGCTGTAGAGCGGTTTAGGGATCAAACCCGACAGCTGGGATTATGCTTCACGCGCACTGGTTTTTCCTAGACCACCATAAGATATACGGCATCAAACTCCACTCTTGGACATGAATCGTGCACACTTACCTTCACATCAAAAAAAACTTCAAAGGTGCGGGGCGGAAAGGGTTTATGGACTATGACCTACCTAAGGAGAAGGGAACACACTCTTCTTGTGCGGTTCAGCGTATGGTAGCACGCACTGTCCCTCACCTGTGCAACTTGCATCGATTCTAGACCACAAACACGCTTCTCTCAAGCGAGTCAACAACGTTAGCAAGGCCTGCAGGGTCGCCGGGTGTCTTTTGTGCATGCGATGTTGTCCAGCGACGCTCGTGTGCCAAGCTGATGGACGATCGCTCGCTCACAGAAACGACACATACTTGTGTAACTTCGCTATTAACATCGGAGCACTAGCGATAGGGTTAGGATAATTCGAATTCTCATAAGTACACAGCTGCACCGTACCAGATTCCCATATCCACTTCAGCGCAGTGTGTAGAGCCAGCTTCTCCCCAACTTCCAACAGTTGAGTATTTGTTGGGCGTACTGGGCCACCCAAAGTACTATTTCCCGTGAACGCGTGGTATTGTTCTCCGCGAGAGTCAAGCACAGCTGGTACCTTGTCAAACGAATTCAGGGTGAAAGGCACCCAGGGTATTGAAACCCACCTTAAAACACAGCAAACGGATCTCGCACCCCACTTCTCGCTTTAGTGATACACCCAAAGCGCGATGGGGTTTCGGAAAGAACGGAATGGGTTGTCTCAGCGCAGAGTTGTGAACAGAAGCAGATGATTTATTAAACCGGGACGTTGCTATGTGCCGAGCTCCGGAACGGTTCTCACTTTCATCGTCAAGCAGCCCTCCACGGTTCCGCAGTAACAATCGCGATGACAAAGGCGCGTTTCCGCGGAAAGCTGCCGCGTGCCATCGACAAACCACCGTGACAAGTGACAGATTCGTCTCTCTCTTTCTATTCGATGCGTGAGCCATCTTGCGCTAATCATTGCATGTACAACATGCGCCAAGCAGCACACACTTCGACGACATCATTGCCGCAACTCTATGCCAGCCTACATCAACATAGTCGTCACTTTCGTCACCCCACCGCTAACCGCGAATAAAAAAAAGGAAACTCTAAAAACCTCTACCGCCGAGAATTGGTTGCTTGTCAGCCAGCAACCAAAAGATCCGCTGCAATTCAGCCAACCTATTTTTCGCTGATCCTAAAGAATCGACGCCTGTTTTGTGTCCCAGTTATCTCTGGAAGACCGCAGGTCACACAGAAGTTTTCATCTCCCTGAGTCCCCCCCACCTCTACGAAACTTTCCTTCAGCGTCACCGCAAGAATCTACGTGTATGCTACAGTTGGCAGCAAATACCCCGCAGTCGGGCCGGCAATAAACATACTTACAACACAAAGGACACAGCCGCCACCACCCGACGCTCAGTGACCGATTGTTCCTGGAAATAGCTTTTGGTATCCTATGTGCTTCTGGCCTTGATATCTGTAATTTCACAAAACAAAACAAAAGAACATACTGCTGAAATACGTGGCAGTCGTATCCCAGCCAAGCACAAAAATTGGTCCATGCACAAGATTTTCCCAGCTGCCGCTTCTACGATCCTCTCTATCTATCCCCACTCGTTCGTCCAGCTCGCTACTGATATTTCGCAGTTCGGGAATAGCTGCCCAAGCCTCTCTTCGTCCTCCACCCCTGTTGTAGAGCAGGTCACATTGGGCGAAGCGCAACAACGGTAAACGAGGAAGGACATGTTGGGTATAAATGAGCGGAGAACTACATGCACTCGCCCTCCCTCTAGTACTTGAGCGCAATGTTCTGAGCAAAGGGCTGCAGATTTTAGAGGGATTTTCGCGAGGGCTTCTACAGGACGCGACAAGATACAGTGAAACGCCGCCCTTGTCCTGCCGTCGCTTCCTGGCAAAAATTCCGAAATTCATGCACAAGAAACCCGGAAAGCGAATGTTACTCCGAAACTGCTGCCGATAGGGCCTTCAAATATTGTTTGCCCCCTCTCAGCTCGGAAGTGAGTGCTCCCAAGATTTGGTTGCTACACCCCGCCGTGCCGTGCAACAATCCCCGCACATGTTCATGACCGGATGCATCCACAAAGCGTGGGTCAGCAGCAGCTTTATCACTTCCAATTTACTTGCCTAGGAAACAAAACCGCTCTCCGCCTCTCACCTCGCAGCTGACCCGTCGCGAGATTTAGTTGCTGCAAATCGGTGAGTGCCGCCAGCTCCTGGGGGATCTCTCCTGCGATCGCGACCGCGGAAGGGAGTCGGGGTGGTTGAATCCAACAAGAGTTACGGAGCTACCAGCAAGGGGTGTACGGTTTTTCGGGCGCCAAGCCCAGCTGAAGTATGGCACCTGCAGCCGGGCTTGGAGTGGACGCACATCGAGAGTCCAGACGGCAGGCGCACGCTCGAAGACCGAGTCGGCTCGATGTAGTCGCCCGTGGCAGGGAAAAAAAAAACGAAATAAGGTCTAACGTGACCCAAAACACGCAAGCGAGGGGCGGCGTGTGAGCATGCGCACGACGAGCGGTGAAAGGGAGCTCAACTCTGTTTCGAGATCCCCGCACCTGTGACAAGGTTGCCGCCGAGGTAGAGCACCCGAAGGGCGCGGAGTGTTCCCAGTTCCCGGGGGAGCGCGCCTGCGATGGCAGTTGTTGGAGGCGACCAACGCTCAGAATCATTCTTCTGGTGGAAAGTTACCGTCTGAAATAGGACCCATTCGATTCTCTCGTTTCGCGACCGACTGTTGTGAGATAAGCCGGGTAGGTTGGATAAAGCTTGCCCTCAGACGAATGAGACACGACGGACAACCGGTAAACATGCTGTCACAAATCCGACTTCTGGCGACAAACGGGAAAAAAACGCCTCCCCAGGAAATTTTACACGCTGAGGCTTCGCGCGGGTCACTCAAATCGTTACCAATGTCGAGAAGATACTTCGCGGTGGGGTCAAGAACTACGGATAAGAAGAGGCCGCCATGTTTGAGACTCACCACCCAGCTTGTTGCGATCCAAGTAGAGCCGCTCAAGCTTGCTCAGGTTCCCAAGCGCGGCAGGGATGGTGCCTGCCAACCATAGCCAAGTTACAACCGCACGAAGGTGAGGCGGAGTAGCGAAGTCTGGATTAGGCTGACGAGAGGAGAGACCACAAGTCAAGGTGAGGCGTCCTTGTCGGATTTAGGTTGGAAGGGTGGAGAAAAAGTGCCCGGGGTGCAATAAGTCGGATAGTGATTCTCATCGCTGTACAGAGTAGCGGATGCAAAAGCACATTCCGTGAACGGCCGAACAGGGTGGCGTAATTGGCAGGCCGAGTGTTGTGTCGCGATGGGAAGTGGTAGCGTTAGCAACTTGTGTCGGGCATGTCATATAGGCCCCATCTTGACAAAACTAATACCGATCCTCGTCACTAATACCGATCCTCGGCTCCGTACTGATTTGTTCTCGACACCACCACCGCCAAACTACATCGAAAACCTCCCTTTGCGGAGCAAACATCTCACCCGTAAGCTCGTTGTCTTGAAGGTTCAGCTCCCGCAGCTCTCGGAGGCCGCCCAGCTCCGGAGGTATATGACCTTCCCAGGAACATTGAATTCAGAGGGTTAAGGTCCACCGTGCGAATTTCGGTAGGGGACAAAACCGGTCGAGTTCGGCTTGAGGAATCATGAGCCCATAGAAACTTGGCTGCGTCACACTGCTGTTCCAATGTTTTTCAAGGTACTACCGACCCACGGAACAGAAGCTCACCGACCAGTCTGTTGCCCCCGAGGTTGAGCGTGGTCAAGGCGGTGAGGTCCCCGAAACTCCCCGGGATGACTCCTGAAAAACGTGAGGCCGGAGAGCAGAGATTTCGAGCTCCGAATCGTATCCGGTACGCTGCGGGTCGCGCCTAAAGAGACACCTTCCGACTGTGCGAGGTAGAGTGAGAATTGGCTTGACGAAGAGTCCCTGCGCACTATGGCCGTTCTAACTGCTTCCGAACCAAGCTCGGTAGGGTGATTACGGCGCTGCTTCTGTGCTCGACAAGCACAACCACCAGAAAAGCGACAACGACGGAAACGAAACCGCAAAGGTTGCCGCTCTCATTGTAGGCTGCAGTTATCATCGGACAGTTGGCACGGATCGGAGAAGTCGGAGAGTTGGCACCACAGCAGTAGTGAGACAAAAAAAAAAGATAGTGCCCATGACCATTGATTGTCCCATCCAATCCCCCCACTGGTCGGGAGGACCGAGGGAAGGACGGTCTCTATCTAGACCTTGCTGGCGAATCTTGATTCCGTCTTCACTCACCCCCGAGTGCGTTTCCATTGAGGTCTAACTCTGTTAGCTGCAGCACGTCTCCTAGCGAAGGTGGGAGCGATCCTGCACAAAAAAAGCGCGGAAAACTGGTCAGAACCGTTTGGACAGCTGTTTGTGAAAGCGACGCAACTGCAATGCGGCAGGGGGTCCGGCAACCACGTCCGGACACCCGTTGGAAGGGCTACGGCGAAACGCTCACATGAGGTCAACTTCTAGGTATCCCAACGCTACGGCCGAGCAAGCCGAGACCCCAAGAAACACTCCTTGCCTTTCAGTCCAAAACGCCCGAGGTTCAACCTTGAAACTTCCAGTTTCTCTCGAATGTAGCCCAACTCTCCGTTCAAGAAGCCGGGGTCCACTTGCATGACTTGGAAGGCGGTTGCCAGGAGACGCTTGGAATTTCTCTCGGTAGGCATTGCGGCATTCTCCGCCCCAAACCTGTTCACGAGGACTGCGAGACTAGCCGCGTTGGCAGCCAGCTCCTCGGCCTTGTGTCGGGCGTTCAGCAGGTGCTGCACAACCCCGGGGTCCGTGTCTATCATGCGCAGCTGCGACGACATGGGCAGATCCGTCCGGGTCGCGAACCCCTCCGCCATCTTGGCCAGCAGCGCGAACCCAGCCGTGGCGATGTTCAGCACGCCGGCCACCGACGTCGGAGAGGTCACCCAGGTGATCACGAGCTGCGGGATGTCTTCGACGACCACGTTCAGTAGCAGCTGCCAGCCCAGGGGGACGTGCTGCAGAGGGCTGAGGGCCCTACCCCTTCGGCACCACGTCCACGCTTCGCTGACGGGGTGAAACTCCAGCGTGAGCAGGACGTACATGACGGTGCCGACGACGGTGAGCACGAACGCGACGTCAGCGACGAGCTCCTGCGCGTCTTCCAGCCCTTCCTGCAGGAAGTACCAGTCCGCGAAGAGGTCCAGGTCCGACACCACCGACGTCAGGACCGTCAACGGCGTCACCTTCTCCCAAATGGCGCTCCTTTTGAGGGTCCTCCTGAGGTCTTCCGAATTGCCACCGGCATCCGTGAACGGTGAGCCCATGCTGTCTTGCCCTGCCGGAGAGGGACAGACCTCGAACGGCGACGCGCTATTTCTTTTCGCCCCGGCGTGTCGGCTACTACCGGTGGTGCCGTGTGTGCGGTACTGGCCCTGGCGCTTCCGCTTGACAAGGTCTGCCGGGAGAGCTGACGCCAGCGAAGCTTGTGCTGATGCGCCATGGTCTTCTTCGTCCACGCGGGTATGTTCGCCACTCAATTCGCCCACGCATGTCTGCCCCTGCGACGCCCGATGCTTGATGTTGGTCCAGCTGCAAAAATCGTACCACAGATACAGACACGCCAGGTACGCTAGCCGAAGCATCAACGTAGATCGTAAGGGACGTAAACGCTCGCTCCTCGCTTTTCCCTGTTGCCAGAAGGAGCAGGAAAGAAAGAGGAAGCGGAAGTTGTCACACTGCGTTAAAATTGGCACCGAAGACGGAAGCCTGCAAAACTCAGATTGGGGCTGGGGAGCCAAAAGACTGCTGTGATCAACAGGAAACAAAAAACGATTAGGTGTTTGTTGCCCGGAAAAGCGGGAATTGGCTCTCGTTTGGAGAAATATCAAATGCACCGATTTTCGGAAAACGGGAAGAATATTATAGATTGGGATCGCACCCCCCAGTTGGTGACCTCAATGTTAGAGTCTTCCTCGGCAGGGCCGCATACACTAAAAATAGCAAGCTTGTCGTGCAGCACCCACGTGTCGCCCGCTACCTCCATGTGATTGATTGTGTGCGCGTGTCAACCTTTCACTCCCCATAATATGCGCTGTACTGCTGTAGAGAGCCAACGGCCGGCAGTGCAAAGTTTGTGGTAGAACAAGGCTGAGGATGATGCTTGGACCACTGGCATAAAATCTGATGCTCAGCAATCGTCATGTGGGTTGATTTGTTGTTACAACTCCCCGTGTGGTAAACGTGGTCTATCGCTCTTGGCAGCCCCTCTACACCTCCCGCCAGCAATTTTGAATCTCAAGCTAGCCAATGTGGTTGCACATTTAGTACTACATAAATACAGGTCTTTTAGCCTATTTCGCCAAAAAAGCTAGGTGGTTGACTCCTCCAGATGACCTTAACCCTTATGTGACTGCAAGGCCGATTCAGCTCCGTTCTCAGCTCCGATCACTTTGCGTGCCGAAAGATCGCCGTTGTGCCTCGGCTAAGAGCAAAAAACATACATAGAGACCAGCAGGGAGACACAGGCAGTCCACCCTAAAAGCACGCTTATCAGCAATGCGCACAGGACTCACATAGTACAATACTATTCACCCATGCCTAATCTCTCTGACGTGGGGCAGATATCCTTTCCAGATCCAATCTACTGCCTACCGGCTGTCCAAGATTCAAAACCAAAATACCACCACTGGAGGGTACATACAAGTACAGCACCCTGAACATGTGATCAACCCGGTGCCGCATCCGCGTGGGAGAGCAGAGAAAGCGCACACCGGAGCCGATGCTAACGTACTGCCTCGGTGCTTGATGTTGTTGTGATTGCGGTGCGTGTGGTTCCCAATATTGGGAGTGAAGGGTGGTTCGTCTGCTGTGTGCGAAATTTCGCTCAAAGGCGAGAGTTTTCGGGACTACAGCTCCGATCACAGCTCCGATCACAGCTCTCTATTTGTAGTACAGAATAGTTAAATTTATCACGATTTTTATGCATTTTGTGTGATAGTGGATGATGGTCTCGATTCTCTGATGAGCGGGCCGGTTTTTTGTCGATCTGGCGCTTCTGTGAGGCGGTTTCCCGTCAGCGTCTTCGCATCCTAGCGCCGCTAGCATTTGCGCTTGCCGTATGTTCTGTCCAAGGATGAGGTGGAGAAGATGTGCCAACAGGTATTGCTTGCACAGGTACATCCTCTGTGCGGATGGTTGCTGTCGGAGACAGGCATGCACACCTCCTCAGAAACTACTGCTGCTGTACAGCAGTCTATTTCTCTCCGCATAGCTGCTACTACTGCTGTACAACAGTAGTACTACTGTACTCCTGTTCGTCACCCTTACATATACCGCGTCCCCATCCCTGTGAGCCCCACACATGGACCCACTGCTGCACCATCCTTGCCGCCGTGATTTACGGGTGTACACGCATGGTTGGAAGATCTTTGACCGCAGAGAGCCAGTTGTGGGGAAAAAAACAAAAAAATTCAAATTAACCCAGTCACCTAAGGGTTAGACTAAAGCAGTCCCTAATGGGCATGGCGGGATGTGGTCGTACAGCAAAAGGTAGTGTATGTAGTGGGTGAACCTCGGGTTCAGGAAACTTCCGCTGAATTTATTTTGTCGGGGTATGGGGATAACATTCGGTTCACCCACACACGCAGGACACAGGCACAACTTCCGAGACTGCATCCGTCTCGGCCAGCGATCACCGATCTATCTTATTGTACTCGACAAAACCAAAACCATACCACCTTACATGCCTCAAATCTGCGATATCCAATTTACTGACCAGACGTGTGTCAAGTCGGCAAGCACATCTCAGAGGAGAGAATACCTGTATCTCCACAACTTGCCACAACCAAAAGCAGTCATACCTGGGCTGGAGATGTGGCTCGCGCCCACCGCGTAGGAAAGTCTCCTCTCTCTCTCCCTCTCCACCATACGATGAGTTGCGCGCTGCTGTTGGTGTGTGTGGTATGGTGCTCTTTGCCGGGTGGTCCACAGCAGCACCTCTAGCAACCCGATGACCCGATTGGCCCTTGCACCGCGACTGTGCCGTCATCGAAAACGCCTCCGTTCACAACTTGTTGATTCTGTTCTTATATCCCCCCGCTCAAAGCTTTCGAAAGCGGCGCCGCGCGGCGGTGGGTGTGCGAGCGATATCAGGAGGAGGTTGCGAGTTTCGGGCAACATTGGTTGAGAGTAGCATGGAACTGTCGGAGCTGTAACTCACTTCCCGTAGTAACAACCGGCTGCTGTGTTGGCTTTTTGGTTTCCCACAATCGACACAGTGGCAACACCTTCATTCAGGAATTCCCGGGGTGGGGATGATGACATCAATGTAAGCTGCGCTTGTTCCGGTAGGAACAAGGTTTCCGTGTTTTTCTCATGTTCGATTAAGGTGTTTTCATGATGCGCGGAATGGTGCGAGACCCGCTGTTGGTGATTCGGATACAATACGTTTTCGTAACTTATCTCAGGCATTGCAAGCAAACGAACACGGGTTGTTCATCATCATCAAACGAATCACAGAGCGCCGAGAAAAATGATGAGTACAGCAGTGCTCGGGCGTCTCATTGTACAGGACCCCCTTTGTGATAAGTTTTTATCGCATTCGACCCCGTGATGCGTGTGATCGCATTCGTTCTCAACTACAGTATCAACGCCCACCGACGATTTCCTTTCACAATATATTTTATTGGTGAGCCTGCTACGCTGGGTCAGACGGTGCATGCATTCAAGACAAAAATTAGGTTAGCCGACGCACACAAAATTAACAAAACTCCAGCACCCAACCGCGTTCGGGCGAGGCAAGCCTTTGGCTTTGCACCTCGCATAGAAGCACCGCAATCCTTTTAACCCAGTAGTGTGGTTCACACACAGCGTGACGATGTCAATCAAGCAGATGGAGGTACCTAGATACACAGCTATAGCACACCTGATCTCGTGCAAAATTGGTTGGAACAACATCAACAACACGGAAAAACGACACGGCCGCCAGACAGGAGCGCGAACGACGCTTCCTTCCTTTCGATCCCATCGCCTACCAGCACAATGCTACTTCTCGTCGAGGAAATAAGCGCGCCACGGGGTCATGCACACCAGCAGAGACGCCAAAACAAATACAAATGAAAGCAAACCACCCCGACAGCTTAAGACACAAAAAGGAACCTGAGAACAGCCCACCCACTACAATGCACACGAACACCTCTGCAACTCCCAGCGTCAACTCCCTATCGCCCGGATCACCACTTGCTCGTCGCTGCTTGTGCCCCACCCACCCACTAAATGCCGACAAACACCTCTGACCCCCCCGCCGCAGCGCCAACTCCCTATCGCCCGGATCGCCACTTGCCCATCTCGATCTCCTCTTCGACGGTGTTTGCGCCCCCCTCCCCTATGACGACACATACGCACGTCCGTCCATACATATATACATTACAATAAACACTAAGGGTTTTACCCGAACCACCTACCACGGAGTGGCGGTATATCGTCCAGGCCTCCCGTGCCGCCCACCGCCGCGGGCTCTCCGATTGTACCGCCCGTGCATGCCGTTCGCAAACAACCACGTCCCTCACGATTACACTGCGTCCGCCAAGACAGACTACACTTGCGCTGTTGCATGCCAATGACACCGTCATCAATACTCTGGCACGCATCGAACTCCGAAAATTCCTCGAGCAATACTTCCATCCATCCTGTAGCGGCAGTACTTCACAGGGGAACTAGTTGTCTGCTCAAGGAAAAGCCACACCTATCGTCGTTGTAAATCACCCCCATGTGCCCACGCCGCGCGCTCCCTGTCTCGACTTACCCTTTATCTCTGATGCTCCAACACAATCCTCAAACACAGGAGAAGCAAAGGTGGACCACGCTACCTAGCTGTCGAAGAGCGACAGGCCGAGGGATCACCGCATCATATGCACCAGCATCCATCTCTTCCACACCCTCCTTCGAGCCTTATGGACCCACCGCCGCCTCATCAAGCAGACAAAAAACTACGTGGACCCCTTCACACCAAGCCATAATAAACACCTGACACTCACGCATATTCGCATCTCTTTGGTGGGTGTTGCCCTCGACTCAACTCTTCCCCTTTATCGTTGCACCCGCAGAGACAAAAAACACACAAAGTTCACCACCCCGAACCCCTAGCAAACCTGCACCGACCTCTTCGGCCATCGGTTCGCGTGATAAATAGTTCGCCCTCAACACTCGGCCCTAGCTGCTCTTTACACTCGCCCTCACAGAGGTTTGTTTTCTCCTCCCCCTCTCCTCTCCATTTTCACAAACCCAGGGGCCTTCCGCCCCCCCCGGTCGCACCATCACTTTGCTCTATCCAACAGGTATCGTGCATGTGTTCCCCTGCCGGCGTGCTGCTTTCGCCCCCGGCTGCCGGGACGGTGTCGACAAAAAACGGCACAGTGTCAACACTCCCCGAAACGCCTGCCCTTCGGTGGCGGTGGACGTACTCCCCGCAGGGTAAAAAGCGCCTACAAACGTCCCCCTCTTTTTCCAAAAATGCCTGTACCTTTTGCCGGAAGATGTTCCGTCACGACCATAAGCTAAACGAAGAGAAAGGACCGCACAAATGAGTCTGGAAAGCGCCAACACAGCAGTCCGTCCGTCCACACGCGCGCCTAAAATTATTCACCCACATGGCCGTTTGACGAGGCGAAGCGCCCGCCGCCTCAGACCGTCAGCACCTCGGAACACATCTCGCCACTTCTCTCCCGAGAGGGAAAAGCGATCTCACGCGCCGACCGCCACCGGATCCGCCGCCGGAACCGAGTCTCTAGAACCCCGGTGCGATTTAACGCCATTTCCCCCACTACCACTACCACTACCACCGCCGGTGCCGCCTGCAGCGGCTCCGACTGGCGGTGCTTCTGCCGCCGCCGCTGATGCCGCCGCTGCTGCCGCCGCCGCCAGTGCGGCCAGTTCCACGTTTTGTATGAAGTCGATGGCGTTCTTGGTCGAAACCCGGTCGGCGATCATGACAGGCACCCCGTTTGAGACGATGTGGTTCACCTGGGTAGCGACGCGATTGGAGTGGAAGTAATTGTGTTGATTGGTTGGTGTGGGGGGTGTGTGCTCATGAAAAAACGCGTGCCGTAGTCGTTGGACCATTGACTTTGCATCCCTACCAATGCCGGGACGAAGCGATATGCCAGGTTTTTCCGCAATTTGGGGGGAGGTGGGGGGGCTTCAGAGCTCGAGGAAAGCTCGGACATATCTCGGCTGCTCCAACGAAGCAGTGCCTGTGCTTTTTGCGTAGCACCGCCTGAATAAAGTTCGCGCCCTCTCCACGCTCAAGAAGACAAATGATCAATCTGAAAAAATGGGGGCCCAATTTTAAGAATTCCAACTCCAAAAAATTCGTTTGCGACAGCAGTTTGAGCGAAATTTCCTGGTTAATTCTGCCTCACACTCTCGCCACGTTAACTCATTTGTTCGCCAATCTATCAATCTGTGGTGACACCGGTCATTTGACACACATGTCCTGGTTGTGTCGATTTCAAATTAGCTTTACTCATGATGGTGGCAAGGCTACGGTCAAAGCCCTGCCCCGGCTCCCGGCTCCCTCCCTCGTACCTAGGCTAACGTTGATGGTGAAACAACTCAGGGGGCCACGAAAAGAGGTGGGACTGCCGAAGATTGTGCACGAAAAACATCGGGCGAAAACGCAAAAAAACGCCCAGCGGTGTCTCTGTTTTGGAGCCAGGAACCATTACTACGTCCATCTTGAACGAGAAGCGTTAGCAGCGTGTAAAATGTCACCGCCTGGCACTGCTGTTGTTTGATACCCCCCTCTCCTTCTCGCCGCTCCGTCCTCTCGAGGACGCGCGGTCAATGGTCTAACAGCTAAGGCATGCAAAACATGAGGAGTACGTCCGTCTCCTCACCGTGGTCATCTCGGTCCGGGTAGGGTCGCCCTTGGCAGGCCTTAGAATCGTCACCCCGAGCAGGATCTCGCTCCTTACGTGACCGTCTAGCAGTGGCGCCTGAAGCCGGAACATCCAGGAGGGAGGAGGGGGAGAGGGAGAGGGAGAGGGAGAGAGAGATGGGGAGAGAGAGAGAGAGAGAGAGAGAGAGAAGCGGTGTTAGACCAACACACAATCGGCAGCCAGAATAAATAAGTTCGTCAAAGGGCGTCATCGAGGTCTGGGCAGCGGTTAGAGGAGTGGCCGACCCAGCGTGAAAAAGGCAGAACGAATAAGCACACTAGAGGGGATCATCAGGATAGAGGGGGGCGACGGATTGATTGGCATGCATGACGACAGCATCTGCTAGCACAAAGACAATGCTTCACGTATCCCGAGTCTTGCCAGCTATCCCCACCCACCCACCCATCGGAACAGGGCGGAACACGCCCCACGAGCTCAGAATAAATCCCATCTGCGTGAGCCCCGCCCTTCACGCCCAGCAGTAGAGCGAACGTTGCACCAGATACTCACGATATCCAGAAAATAAGAAAGGAGAATAAAAGAAAAAAGAAAATAAATAACAAACGGAAACAAACGATACAGCCGACCCGTCCGACCCGTCCAACCCGACCTACCTTGGGGTGCTCCGTGGCCCGGGTAATGAGCATGAAGGACCCTTCCTCGTCGTCAAGAGGCTGCATGTGCATCAGGGTGCAGAAGTCGTGGAGCTTCTTGGACAGGGGCGGCTGCGCCTTGTTCCAGACGATCTTGGTGTGCGGGCCGAGGTGCTCGATGTCCGTCCTCCCCTTGCTGTACCTGACTCGTTTTTTTTACGGTGTTGGTGGTTGGTGCTCTAGCTTCTTCGTCATCGTGTACGAAGTGCATCTTTAGTGGTCAGCACTACATGCTGCCGTCGTCTGCAACTTTTACTCCCGCGATCTCTGCCTTGATTTCCAAGGGCTCAGGCCCGGGCTCGTAAAGAGAGACCCATCCCTCCGGGTGATGGTCCGCACCTACTTTTACGGATGTCTCCTCTGGCACATGGTTTGGAAGCTCCACCGATGTCAACTCCGACCCTCTGTGCGTCTTGTAGCTCCCCTTCAGTGGTCGGGGCGATGAACACTCCGATATCAACGCCATGTAACCTCCGGAATACAGCCAGCTCTTCTCCATCGCAGACTATCAAGAATCTAATCTCCTTCCCAGAACTGTGTATATGGTACGTCTTACCCCGCTACGTGTTTGTTGTGCGGTGGGCTACACAGCTCGTGCAACAACCACCACCACCTATGGAGAGACGGCAACCAATCGAAACAGCAGCCACGCGACGCGCGCCTCACCTGTTGTACTCCAGGACACGGGTGGAGTCGACGATCATGCTCATCACCTCCGCCGCGGAGCCCTCGATGATTCCGCGGGCCTTCACGCAGGGATACTTGTAGCCGTACTCATCCTGGCCGCGCCACAGCAGCAGCGAAAAGCAGCAGCAGTAGCAGCAGCGGCGGCGGCGGCAACCCAGCAGCAGCAAACACGCAAGACACAATAGCAAGCGTTAGGGCGTCTTGATCTTCTGCAAAACATAACGACAGCAACTACAAGTACTGAGAGGACGACCACAACAACAAGCCAGCCAGCAGCAGCAGAAACAGCACCTCCACCACCACCACCACCACCACCACCACCACCACCACCAACAGTAACAGCAACATCTGAATCGTCGGGACCACCGCACCTTCGGGAAGTACTTCTTCCAGACCGTCACCCCGCCGCGGTGGGCCACCTCCTCCCATCCGGGCGTGCCTAGGGCCCTCTCGGCGCTTTCCTGCAACGTTGCCATGCACACACAGACAAGGGTTTCAGGATGATACGACGTGGCAAGCCGGACCAAGAGCAGAGCGGCACCCACGAGAGAAAAAACACAAACAACAAGAACAACAAGAACAACAACAACGACAACGACAACGACGATGACACCAAGAGAAGAATCGCGGACACGATGCCACCACACAAGCGGCGGACCAAACAACGTCGCCGCGGTGAAGGAGGAGGGAACAGCAAGCGAAGCAACAAGCACACTCACCTGAGCAAGCTGGAGCTCCGCGAGATACTTGGTGGTGCTCTCCGCCTCGGGGGAAGCCTCCAGCTCTCTCTCGCCCCCTTTTCGCGCGATAACCGCAAAAAACCCACCCACCTTCCTCGGCAACTCCTGGGCCACAAAAAAAAAGACACGTGACGCACCCGTGCTTCAGCCTGTATGGAAAATCTCTTTTTCGCTATTTTGTGTGTGTTGTGTATTCGTCTCTGGCGCCAGGCTACCGTACGAGGCGGAGAGATGGCACCCCCCCCTAGACCGATTTTTCATGCTCCACAACTGAGGGACCGCCTACGCAGGATTTTAAGAGTATCTAGAAAAATAATAGGGAGGGGGGCACGCAGACCCTATCCCTAACCCTAACCCCAAAGCACGGATTCAATACTTTATCCCATATGTTTGCTTAATCAATTTTGCTGCGTAGACTACTGCAACCAAGATTGTTCCAACAACGATGATGATGTTGGAACCATCTCGTCGGGGGATCTCCGTACAACTATCGGGCACATCTCCGCGCCCCGTCGGTTGTGGAGCAATCGACGTTTGAAAGTCGACCCCGGGGGGGGGGGGGGGGG